AGGTCCTTCAGCGCCCTCGTCGTAGCTTCTTGGATGTCCTTAATTGTGCCCCAATGCTTGCCTTTGAGCTTCGACTTGATGCTGGGAAACAAGAAGAAGTCTGCCGGGGCGACGTAGGGAGGCTGCGGGACCAGCGGGCTTCGTCGGTCACCTCTTCCCTTCCGTCACGGAACATCTTGTGCCACTTCCTGACCGAGGATTCGGACAAGGCTTTGTCCTTGAAGGCCTGTTTAATCATCTCGTTGGTTTCCACAGTATTTTTGCCGAGTAGAACACAAAATTTCACTGCGTACCTCTGTTCTAACGGATCCGTTATCGCGCTACTTTTAAAAACTTCGACGAGGTGTCGTTTAGAGCTCTACGCGAACGCACGTCCTGCCGCTCCAGGTGCTCGGAGCCAACTGGGACCGGTCGCGCTGTATCGGCTAGATCCCCCCACCACTTTCTGTTGCCAAGCGGAGCGCTTCCCGCCGTTCGGCAACACTCCCAAAAAAAATGTTCGATACTTTTGGGACGGACTTTGTTTTTTCAAACAAACCAACTGTACGGTCTGTCTGTACAATTTAGTCAGGATAAGTCGTCTGCTCGCTGAGGTTTAGTCAGGACTGCTCTCGTCGTCTTTTGTCAAAGAAAGGAAGGTCGGTCGCCGTCTTTTGTCCAAAAGAAAGTCGGCCTAATTTCGAATCCTGTCAATCTAGTAAGTCTGTCTTTGTGGCTTGTCAATCTGGTCATCCATGGAGGCTGTACACTGGTCTTCCATGGAGGCTGGACGCGACACCAACGTTTCGCAAAACACTTATAGCACGCATTGAAACATGCTTTAGTAAATTAAAAATAAGGTATTTAAATTACCAACTTTCGTACCCATAGTTAAAAATAAAGTAGCTTGTATTAATATGAGACATAACTAAAAACATCCATCCATGGCAACTGATCAGGTAAATGGGCCATATATCACTTTTAAATATCAACTGTCTTTTGCGCTAAAATCACAAATTAGAAAACTGAAATAGTACAGCGCCAACAACTGACCTGTATGTACGACTCCGTATATTCCAAAACTATTCTGTATTTATTGTAAGAGAATAAAGATAATCTCTATGGGGGCTGTTCCATTCGCTAGTGTGGGAAAAACAGCAAAACATGTAATTACAAAACAAACGGATCACATTTCATCGGTAATTAAATATTAAATATGAAATTTTGCATTCTTCGTCCATATAGCAATTCAAAATTCGGGCTGGCCAATCGGAACGGAGTTGTCACAGTAATGATTTTGCAGAATAGTTTTCAAACAAATTAAATGACATTTCGTGTCTATTTCTGGTTTTATATACACGATGATATAAGTATAGGTTCTTAATTTAGTATGCAATCCTAAGAAAGAAGCAAACGAGGGTAGTTGCTGACCGCCGCCGCTGCGCTTGTACTGACCGGGCTGTCAGGGCTTTGCCACGCAGTTTTCGTCGAGTCACCGTCGCGGACACTCGTGACCAGAAGGTAATTTAATAATATAATGCAAACCACCATATTTTTATCATTAATATTAAACATAACAGTTTGATGACTTTACCATCTCAGTCAGCCGTGACCACGGGACCTGTAAAGGGTCCTCGAAAAAAAAAAAGTAAAACGTTGGACTCTTTGAAAAAACAAATATACGAGAATTAGATCCGAAAACAATAGTTTAATTTCCTAGACATTAACCTTATAATTACCTAGTTAACATGCTTTTCATTAGGCACTGGCTCCATTCATATCAACTTCACTGGTTACAGACAAATCCTAAACGGTATTGCTTAAAGTTAAACCATTACAGGTAAGTATTAAAGTCTACTTTGTATCGAAACGTTAATATATAAAGGAAAATTTATCGGAAATTTATCTAAGTCAGTAACATTACAGTGATGACTGTATATTGTACCGAGTTGGCCAAAAATATCGTACGGCATCAAAGTATAAATGAAAAACATAAAAAAAATAGGAAATGAAACTATTTTTCCGGATTTAAATCGCGTATATTTGTTTTTTCAAACAAACCGACATTTCGGGCCCTTTACAGTTCTTATCGTCACATCATGGTTGACTACTATGGGATTACCATGGGTGATTGACGAAACGTCGGTTTGTTTGAAAAAACAAATATACGCGATTTAAATCCGGAAAAATAGTTCCATTTCCTATGTGTAACAATCGCGAAAACCCAAGAACTCGATAAAAAAAATAATCAAATTTTATTCAATTATGTATTGGCCATGTTCATCTACAATCTTTTACCATATTTCGGTTAATTTTAGAATTTTCTTCGTTATGAAAATCCTGTCTTTACTTACAAAATACAGTTCCAGCATCGTATGGTCTGTCAGCATCTTTTCGTTATCAAAATCATGTCCGTTCATAGAATTTAGTAAAGACCGAAACAAGTTAAAATCTGTACATGCCATTCGTATTCATTCTGAATCGAAGACTATAAAAATCTAGAAAACCGGACCAACTTCAGATGTCACTTGTGCACTAAGTCCAATTCGAATCCAAGAAAATACGAATATCGCTTGTACACCTAGAGATAAAAATGATCCCTGAGACATTTCGGACTGTCATTTCTCGGATTCGGAACTAATACGCATCGGAAGTAGCGCGCAAACGCTCTATCTGAGTCGGTTCCTGAGTTAGTTGCGCGATGCGGGAGGAGTGCCAGTTTACGTAACAGTTATGTCGCGCTGCATACGGGATAATTTCAACAAGATTTTTCTGACTTTATTTAATAACAAGTTGATAGAAAAAAGTGCCAAATGGCTTGTCTATTCATTTCAATTATCAATGAATTTATTTATTATTATCGTTTCACATAATAATTGACTAATTTCGTAGGCATTTTGCAATAAAAGCTATTTGTACTCTCTATAATAACAAAAAAATGTGCCAAGTGACGATAACAGATGTTTAGTTTAATTCTGAAATTAAATATTAACGCTTCGGCCAAAGTAGATAGGTACACTGAACACCGCGTGAGCCGGAAGGGACTAAACATGAGGTTGTAAGCAGAAGCTTCTACAGCGTGTCCATAATATTTGATGTAATCAACATTGTCTCCAAATAGATTGAATTGGAATGGATAAGGAAAAAATCTGCTAAATCACGCTTGTTCTTTCTTGCACTGTTAAATACTTGCTTTAGTTTAATACTGTAGTATATCAAAAGAATAATTATTATGTAAATCTTATATTTAGATACTTTAGGACAGAAAGGCTGTAAAAAGCAAGCTATATTCTACAAGACAAATGAACAACGGCTGTGAACCATAACGTTTAGATAAAATTAAACTTTATGATACATAGCTTTTTTTTTCTTATTCCTTGGCACTATGGCGTCCAGCCTTTGGCCATATACAATTCCAATTGGATTGCCAATTTTTGGTAATTCCTCCAAATAAATCTTTGCTTCCTTCTTGAGACTTCAGGATATCATTATTGACGCAGAAGTTTCTTTGTTATTCAATTATTTTTATGACCATGATTACGTAATAATGTCATTTTTGGCGGGTAACAAAATTTTGTATAGACAGATCCAAAGAGCATTCAAAATGTATCTAATTGTGACGGTGTGACCTCCTTACACCGTCATCTCACCTCATTGTATCGCCTCTCTCCGCTTGTATCCTATAACTTTTTTTTATTTTACATGTATTTAAATTTTAAATTTGAATTGTTCCATCTTCTTTCACTTTCTCATTTTGTTTTCGTACCACGGTCACTCCCAGCTCGACCGCCACAACAGTCGGAGCTGTTCCAAATTCCATTTACTAAAATCTTATTTTTGATTCTTATATTCTATTCAACAGTCGGAGCAAAAGAATTATCAAAAATTTGCTGCAATAGTTTTTCGACCAAAAATGAAGCCATAAACCCGGATGTAATGGTGCCGCCATTGAAACCCTGGCTATTACACGAATATAAAGATTTGTACATATATTTCTGGCGGTTTTCACGATTATATCAATAACTCATTCTTGAGAAAATAGGTCTAATCAGGAATTGCCAATTCTGGATCAATTAAAGCAATGTAAGAAGATCTCTCGGAGTTATGACAGTAGTATGCATTATTATCGCCGTAGATTCAAGTAATACTGGTTTTAAGGGATTTTGGAAGTTCAAATCATATAAGAGGAGCTGAGGCCTTTGCGTGGTATGTCGGTGATGTGTGGATGTGGGTAACTGTAATTGTGGTTTTTGGGGTAAGTATTAAGTAAGCATTGTCATAACTTATACGCGCGTTTCTTCCTAAAGTATCAATTTGTTTCAATTTTCAAAAGCATAATATACAATTTTTAGATGTCAACCAAAAATGTAGCTTAGGGCCATTGACGTTAGGCTGATTTTTGACAGACCCTAACCGTAGTACAAAACGTCTAAGACTCAATTTACATTACTGCGGAAGGGAAAGGAAGAGAAATTTTGTAACGAAATTGTACACGGCATAGTGAAATTTATTTCAATTGTATAACGTACGAAACACATACCATACGGTAGCTGCGGGAATTCCCATGACTACATCTCGTATCTAATTTGTACATCAATGATATAAAGTTCGTTATGTTATGGCATCGAGTATGTGACCAGAAATAGAGACGACATTTCGTTTAATTTGTTTGAAAACTATTCTGCCATATCATTACAGTGACAATTGCGCTCCGATTGGCTAGCCCGAATTCGAAACAATTGACGGGTGTCGTCAACTGTTTCACTTGAAATCGACCAGTTTACTTAAACTTTGCTATAATAGACGAAAATTGCAATATTACATATTTAATATTCAATTACCGATGAAAACTGATTCCGTTTGTTTTATAATTAGATGTTTTGCTGTTTTTCCCCACACCATCGAATGAAACAGCACGCCATTGTTAGAGATATAATCTTTATTACAATAACTACAGTATATTGTTGGAATATACGGAGAAGTAACACACAGGTCAGTTGTTGGCGCTGTCTATATTTATCTCTGTCTGTTTATAAGTGATGTATCACTGATTAGTTACCAGGAATGTATGGCCCTTATTTCGTCTCTATTTCTGCTTATATACTCTATGTGGTTATGGTTTCTAGGTAGGGTGATTATGGTTTCACAAATCCGCTTACATTCCATTCCACGGTAATGTAAATTGAGCCTAAACTAAGCACTTATACGTTTACGTTCGTGTTAAAACAAAAGCTATATTTTAATACAATTTCTATAAGAACTTTTTTTCTTGCAAATTTCTTACCAAAAATGTGACTGAACTGATTCTTTCCCTTGCCATTTACTTTGTGCGCTTAAATTAATTTACTTTGACCGCCGATATTGACTACGTAGATGCACCATCATCAGTCCGCTTTACCTGAATTCAAAGATAAAATATAATGTTATTTTTAGACCAGTAAGAAATAAAGATCAATTTTATTTCTTCTTAATTTAGATGTGGGCAAATGACAAATTGTTTTAAGACTTTCGTGGTAATGAACAAAATGATTATCACTATTTACAGATTTCTTACCACGGTACGATTTCTTTTTATTTTACCGATGTTTCAGAACAGTTATTCTCCCCAAGGCCCAAGTCTGCAGGAAACGTCTGACACAAACACATGTCACGATATTGCTAGCGGTAATATTTGGTTGTTCCATTTTTTTAAAATATCAATATACATAATTATCATGACATATTATTAACAATTATCATTTCGAACGTTGATAATAAACGCCTATTCACTGTAGCACAGACTTTCATTTAGGCCAATTTTTTTTGCTGTCAACAAATGAATTCAGATACATCTTATTTTCGTGTTTTTATCTTTTTGATTTTATTTGGTAAATAAATAAACGAGCAAAAGCACCATCACTTTTGCAGTTATCACGATGGAAAAGAACCATCAAAAATGAATGGATTCGAATTGAAAGATCGTTCCAAGAAATCAAAATATTCGTTACCTAAATGTAAGCGTGCGTGTATGGTAGCGGCGCGTTCGCCTCCGCCGAGTAGTTGCGCACGAGGCTGAAGGAGAACGGCGGGAACTTGTTCGCCGACAGCTCGAACGTCGTCCACTGGTCGCGCCGCGTCGATACCGCGTACCCCGTCCATATGAGTTGGTGGTTGCGGCGCCGGCGCACGTTACGCAACTCCAATTCCTAAACCAATGATATTTTACATTATATCAAACAAATTATGTTTTAAAATTTAAAGCAAACACCTTTTCATAGGTTTTTAATATAATGTAGAGAAAATTTATGGCTCTCATTAAAGTTGCCATACTTTTTAATGCTCGTGGAAAATTTTGAGGCGCCATCTTTTGGCACAATATGAACTACGTAGTTGAAAGCTGCCACTAAACTATCAATATACAATATAATTAAAGTCGCCTGTACCAAGGCCAAGTTTCGTCTCGTTCCCTACACTGTAGCATGAATCATAATTCCTAATATGGACTCCAGTCTCTTACAAAACCATTTCAACGATAGCCTTAATATAAACGATTCTAAAATATATGTATGAAAGAACCTTTGTAAAGAAAAAATAAAGATGATTACTATGTTCTAAAGTTGTCGAGATTGTTACACATTGGAAATTAAATTATCTTTTCTGATCTACATCACGTATTTCTTTTATGTAAAGGAGACTAACGAGCAGACGAGTCACTTGATGAAAAGTGGTCATCGTCGCCCATGGACGATTGCAACATCAGATGAGTTGCCTATGCCTTGTCAGCTTGCCGGCTTTTTGAAAAGAAAGGAAATACTTCAAGAGGAAGATTATTCCACATATTACAGGTTCGAGGAAGGAACGAAAGAGATCGTGGTCTTACAATACCAGGCATCTAAGATGTGGAGGTGGACTCTACTGCTTTGGCGGGAGGTGTGACGGTGGCAACGAGACGATGGCACCAGTTCAAAAAGTTACTATTGCGTATATTGGTTTTTTCAAACAAACCAACGTTTCGGACCCCTTATAGGTCTTATGACATCGAGTATATAACCAGAAATAGAGACGAAATAATGGCCATCCACCCCTGGCAACTCATCCGGCAAATGGGCCTTATATCACTTTTAAAAATCAACTCTCGTTTGCGCTGAAATCACAAATTACAAGAATAGTACAGCACCAACAACTAACCTGTATGTACGTCTCCGTATATTCCAAAAATATTCTGTGCTTATCGTAATAAAGATAACATCTCTAACAATGGGGGGCTGTTCCATTCGGTGGTGTGGGAAAAACAGCAAAACATCTAATTACAAAACGAACGGAATCAAATATCATCGGTAATTAAATATGTAATTTTGCAATTTTCGTCCAATATAGCAAAGCTGAAGTCAAACTGGCCGATTTCAAGTGAAACAATTGACGACACCCGTCAATTGTTTCGAATTTGGGCTGGCCAATCGAAGCGCAGTTGTCACTGTAAAGATTTCTCAGAATAGTTTTCAAACAAATTAAATGACATTTCGTCTCTATTTCTGGTCATATACTTGATGTCTTATGGTCACGACTGACTGAGATGGTAGCCATGTTTGAAATAACAAATATACGATCCGAAAACCCCAGTTCATTTGTAATAATAATCATTTAAAAAATATATAAATTAGAAAACAGCCAAGATAAGCACTGACCAGATGGAAGGTCTGTTCGTATGGCTCGTGTGCGTCCTTGCGGCGTGCACGAAACCGCGAGTTGCCCCCCGCCGCCGTCTTCTTCTCGCCGCTACTCTTCTTCACCACTATCAATACCTGCGCATCATATTACCCGTACTGCAATCCGCCTTAAAATAGTACAGAGCAACCAAAACAAGATTTATATGTGCGGCTAAAAACTAAAATTAAAGTATACAAAAGTCTGTCTCACGAGGCAATGTTCCGTTAGACAAGACAAAATAATATCTCACATGAAACCAAACTAAAAAAACCAATGAATACTGTGTTAACACAAAAATGTCTTAACTGAAAAATTATGGAATTGAAAAAAATGCGATTTCAGTGAAAAAAAATACTGCAAAGAATCTTTTTGTAAATAATGAGATTATTTTTATTTATACATATTAATTAGTTGTCAAAGGACTGTCAAAGAAAAGATGGATGGGTTGTGTGAAAGATGATATGGATAACAAGGATGTGAGTATGGAAATGACGGCTGGCAGGGGAGAGTGGAAGAAAAATACATGTTGTGCCGACCCCACCTCGCGTGGGCTAAGGGCAAGAAGAAGAATTGGTTATCCACTTATAAACGAGAGCATAAATTTACTGGTTCCATTCAGGATGTTTGTTCATGTTTTCTTAATTTCATCACTTTTGAGTTACGACAGTATATGGTTACATGTGGAATATGCCTTGTGCATAAAACAATTTGTATACAAACAAATTTATTTACAAAGTGCAACTCCTGGAGTTTCTTGCTCATTCTTCTCACGACAATCGAATTTACAAATGAATTAGTAGTGTTTTTTTAAATTTTTTTTATAATCAAAGTGACGGGACGAACAGGGCGTAGTCACAACAGTTGCAGTGCCACTCAGAGCTTTAAACCGTAAAGATCGGAGAAGCACTGCCACTCACACATCAAGTCCCATGTGCTTATAATTTCACCATCACCTACTCTTCAAAATCGGAACGCAGTAATGATTACATTACTGCTTGGCGGCAGAAATAGGTAAGGTGGCAGTACTTCCCTGGACGAATTTCTGCCGCATAGCAGTTTCAAGCTCTGAGTAACACTGCAAAGATTACGGACAGGCGTGTAGCTTTCCAATCTAGCACACGACTTGTTCGCCCTGTCACTTGATATTATCAAAAAAAAACTCTGACCAGAAGTTCTACTGCTACTAAATTAAATGTTGTTTAATCAACATGACGATTTCAAGTGAGAGAGTGACGAGTTCAACCTTACCTATGAAATAAAGATAATTTGAGGTGCGTCTTGAATGAAGCACAGTTCCTGTTCATGTTCATGTTTTTGTTCCTAATATTGAAAAAAAAGGTACCGAATTTTTGGTGCCGATATCGAAATGTTTGTATGATGCTACGAAATTTCCCAAATACAGGTTAAGTTTTTAGCTATGGAACTGGATTCAGAGACAGAAGTTAGCGGACATTTTATACTATTTTTTCAAAATTATAATAACGCTAAACGTGGATTCCCAAATACACTTCTGGCAATATATTGCCGCAATTACCTTAGATGTGACCACGAGTTCCAAATCATCAACTTCCAATCACCAACTTTACGTGAATCGAAGCGATTGCTACAAAACTTTTTGTACATATTTTATGTCTTTTTAGCAGTTTAGTTTCAGATTAAAATTCTAATTTCTTCCTCTTTTTACTCACTAGCGTTGTGCTTGTAGGACTTCACCAGTATCCAGTATTCAAGTACGTATTTTTGGCACCTTTTTTCTTTGTTATTATTATTATTCTTTTCTCTGTAAGTACATTTCCTTGGGTCTTGCTCGCTTGTCATTAGAGCCCAATCCCCAATAATACAGTCTGCTAATTGTTTACATCTTTTGCCTTGGTACAGTCATGTTATAAGAACATAATGTCTATGAAACTATTGTCCGTTTGGAGCTGATTACTACAGTACCTTCTTGCCCATGAGCCTGTAGTGTCCGGACATGATGCCGAGTCCAGGCTTGCTGGGTGTGCGGTGCTTGAGATAAGGTACGCACATGATTGGCTCGTCAGCTGTTGTCCACATCAGCACCAACCCTTCCGGGAAGAACCTGGCCAGTTTTTTTGTTTGTTTAACTTGCGTATTATTTCAGTTACTCTTATTAATCTTTTTTTACATTATTATTATATTTAATGAGAATTTTTTAAATAACTCCACTAGTTTTGTTAACTGCGTCAGTTGTGATATCTGTAAAGGTCTCGGCTGCGCTGAGAGGGTTATTCAAAAATCTCTCACTAGATGTTGTTAGCGGCGACGAAAGCCAAAAAGTCAGTACAAAGACCTATAACAAAAACACAGGAGAATTTCGACGACTCGGCAACTGGACCCGTGGCACAGATGGTTAGAGTAATGCTACGGTGCAGCATGGTCGCGGTTTCCAGTCCCACCGGGTCGACGAAATTTTTCTGTGTGTTTATGTAACAAATTTATTATTTATTATACTTTACTTTTTTCTGATTACAATGTAATACAATAAACCTTATTGACAGTAGTAAAGAGTTAAGGACACGGAGGAACACTGGCTCTCATGTCACAGGTTATCCTACTTTGGGAGTCAGGGAATCTATCTTGTAATAACATTAAATGTACGATAAGGTTTAGAAAACCTTATCCTAGATTAACAGCCTCACTAACAAAAAAAACAACTAAGCATCCCTTTAATCAATATTTAGTTAAGCATTATTTAAGATTTTAAGCACTATTTAACTTTCTTTTACCTAAGTTAAACACTGCTTAGTTAAGTAATGTTTAATAAAGAAAAAATAAAATTACCAAGGCAACATTACAAATTAAACCATTAAAAATAGCTATAGAAAGCCTTAAGAGAAATGAAAAAAATTAGAAAGCCCAAAAACAGAAAAAAATTGCTGTCAGATGGCTGTCATTTGACATTTGGAGCGAAAATATAAAAATTGAATCAAAGACAAATACTAACAAACTCATTGTCTATCTTTAACATATTGTAACATGTTCATCTAACTGGAGCAGTGGATCGTATCGTTTCTTGTTCTTTGCGTGCCTCCGTCTAAAGTATCGCAAATTTGCTGTATCACGCCGAAAATTTCCCATTTTTTCACAATTCAAGTTTTTTTTTTCTCACAATAAAAATCAAAACAAATCTGCTTAATTCATTGTCGTTTTCTGACCCGCTAACAGCTGATTAATGTCAGTCATCTTAGTTAGCGAGTTAAACAAGGTTCCTAGTGTGTTTAAGTCGACAGCTATTTAAACAACAAATTAATCAATCATTTAGCACTGATTAATGTTTATATGTTAGAATTTTTTTAAAACATTGTTAATAATGCTTTTATTTAAAGTTAAGTTTATAGGCAAGGGTGTTAATGATGTGCTGTTAACTAACGCTTGGAAATAAATACATTATTATTATTATTAATTAATTAACTGTTGTGCATTAGCTTACTATGTGACACTTGCATTAACTTATTATTGTCAAACGAACCTGAGATATCTAAAGTAGTCGATGAGGTACCACGGCCGGTAGAAGGTGTCCTGGTATGCGTTCTCGCCGTGTCGCAGGTAGGTGGTTTTGCTTATGTAACAACCGTGCAGCTGCAGGCGTGGTCGCTCCACGTACATCTGCCGCCACGAGTCGAAACCCAGCGCACGCGGTGTGCTGCATTCTATGCCCCACGTTCTAGCAATAATAATAATTTATCAAATTATACT